TCTCCTCACCTTGATCAGGACTAAAGGACGGAGGCCGCTCCACCCCTTTCCCCTCTTCCAAAACCCTAACTTCCTCCAGGCAATACCCTCTGCCCTACAGGATTGAAGATGGCTTGGCAGCCCTTCCAGTCCCACACCTCCTGTGTGCCAGGGGAGAAGAACCTAAAGACTTGATGGGGTAGGGAATGAGGGCAGACAGGAAGACAGCAACATGTCCAGCCCATAGTCTCCATAGAGAATGGTGCTTTGTCCAAGGAAACCTGAGTTTCTGATTCCCCAGGAGCAGTCAATGGTGAGGTTACTGAGAGAAAACTTCCTTCCCAGAGAAAATGGATCCTCTATGTGGGATCTTAGGAGAGTGACTGGGTGTGCCAAAAATGCCCAGGGTTCTGCCCTCAGTACTAGATTTGATGGGGCCAAGAGGGTCCAAACCCTGCTAACATACCACTTCATTGTTCAAATCCTTTCCTTTCCTAGCCCTTTGAGGAGGGACCATGAGAACAGAAACTACCTTGTGACAAGCTGCTGTTGGGTTTTCTCCTCTTGACGGTTTATTTCCCTGGCCTCCTAGAGGGCTGAATCCTTTTGACTCCTTGCTATCTGACTCCTCAGTGGACTTTCCCCTCCGAAGCAGAACCCAGGAGGTTGCTTTTTGCTGGAAGCCTAGTCCGGCCAGTTACCACCATTTGCTGCTTCAGGCTTGGTTGTCTGTTGCAATAACCAGCTCTTAGGTATTCCCTTTCCCTGAGGCTTTCCATTTAACATGGACTCCTTCCCCAAGAAGGCTTCTTCCTTGTTTTAGAGGAAGGCACTGCCTTTGGGACTTAGGGGTATCATGGGACCTCAGTAATGAGGACCCTTAGTTAATAAAGTACCAGAAGTGTGAGGAAGAAAGCAATTTGGGCAGGATATGGCCTATTCACATGGGCTCTTTTTCAGGTTCAATGTAAGCGTAGGCTTGCATCCCCAAGGTACATACTTTGACTTACTGTGGGATAACTCAGCACTAGTAGGTAGGTAAAGTCATGAATGTTTTTTTTTGTTTGTTTGTTTGTTTTTGTTTTTTTAATCCTTTGACTTTAATACTCCCTCGTCACTCTGCCTGGAGGTGCTTCCAGCCTTTAGCAAAGAACAGAGAAGAAATAGAGCATGACTTAAGTGAACTCGGCTCAGAGTTCTAAGGACTGGCAAACTGGTGGCCATTTTCTGCACAGGCAAATGAAATTGCTTTTTTTTTTTTTTTAGTGTCCAAATTGTGATAGGTTGCTCCTGATGGAGGCAGTCACGGTCCTGGAGTACCTTAGGGAGATGTTCCTTCTGCATGCATCTGCAGGGCCTATGACATCTAATGTGAAAAGAGACTTGACATGTGAGATGAGCCTTGGCATGTGAGGTGGTCATTGGAAACCCTTCAGACTCAGAGGAGAGAGACTGAATTGGATCCTTCCTCTCTTCCCAGCATACTTCTGTTAGACTCCTTCAGTCACTGAGGGAGTGCCCCCGGGGTTGGAGAGGCATATTCCCTTGGACAGGGGCTACAAATTGTAGCTTATTTTCCTGTCTCCTAAACCAATCCCTAATCCACTTCAGAATATGGCACCCTGCCCAATTGGCCAAGTGTTAAGTGATGTGCTTATTCTTGAAAGCAGCTTGGGGTGTCTTTTTAAAATGTAGAAAACCAAGGAAAGTGACAGTTGAGGGAAAACCATATAGAATATCAGAAAATCCATTTACCCAGAGAATTCTTTTCTCCCCACTTTTATTTTTACCTGGTGTCACAATTTTTAGTTTTATTCCTCATAGCAAAAGGAGAAAAAAAAAAATCCCAACCCTCAAAAGGTCAAGGCCCCGTCCCCCTGTTGTCGGTGATTTGTTTGTCTTTCTGATAGGTTGAAAATTGTGTAATAAACTTGATGACGATGTCAATCTTTTATACTGCATTGTATTTTTTTTCCTTTTGTAACAAATTATTTTTAAATAATAAATGGGGTGTGAGCTGTTTACGGATTCTGCATTGAATAGATTTGTTGAGGTGTCTGGGGCTTGGGTGTGGACTGATGTAGATGCTGTGTGATGTAGGGAAACCTCAGGTCTTAACAGTAACTTAGTGACTGGTAGTTTCTCCACAGCTGTAGCTGACATGGTGAGCCCCCTAGGAGTCCAAATGAACCTTTACTTGTACCTTTCACGGGTTTATACTTTCTGTCAGAGCTCCTGACCACTCAGTTCCCAAGTCTTACTTACAGATTGTGTTTCCTACCCTGTGGAGTTGGGATAAACGCATGGGTGCTGGTACTAAGTCCTCTATCTCCTTAACCATAGATAACCAGTGTGACCTCAGTCTCATCAAAGAGGAGAATAATTGCTTTTCTGCCTTTATATTAAGGAAGTGTTAGGAATCACTTGTGAACAGAATTGCCATTTAAATATGAGAAATAGAAACTAGAAAGCTTAGAAATACTGAGGGATTTCTAGAAGAGCTGTCCTTTTAAAGTAGCATAGATAAAGGCCCATTGGCAAAATAGTTGCATCTTACCAATGTACTGTTTGGATAAATACGACGGGAAGGAATTCAAGTACTAAAATGTCTCTGCTACCCAAGGAGTTGCTGAGCTGGTCTCTAAAACTCAATTTGGTATCTAAACCTGAATGGAGGAATCATATTCAACATCCATAAGTCAGGAATACATCCATTAAAATCACTTGGTTGGTTTTTGGGTTTTTTTGTTTGTTTGTTTGTTTTTGTTTTTTTTTGGTTTTGGTTTGTTTGTTTTAACAGGTACTTTTTAGTGCATGTATGTCTCCCTGTCTCCATGCATGCACATAGGCTTATGTCTAGAGGTTAGAGGACAACTTGCAAAGTTTGTTTTGTTCTCTTTCCATCTTGTGGTTTTCTTGGAAAATTAAACTCTGGTCAGGCTTGGCACCTTAACCCACTGAGCCATCGCCCCAGTCCTTACTTTGTTTTTTTTTAAGACAGTCTCTTATATTCTAGGCTGACAATGAACTCCTGATCTTCCTGCTTTCCTTCCCAAAGGCTAGGATTATAGGCATATACCACCATGCCCAGTTAAGTCACTTTAATTTTTTAAGTGAAGAGTAGGCTTACATGACAAAAAGACAGACTGCAGACCAGATGATAGTGTATACTGCTATTGGGGAAAGCAGGTAAACAAATTCCTTAGAAGGGCTAGAATTTCTTCGCTGTTAAGATGTGTATTTTCATGTTGGAGTCAACAGTCACTTGAATCTCAGTTGCCTTCTATGTTTGCCAGGTACTGGGTTTGCTCCATGCATTTAATATCCAGCCACCTACTTTTTTTTTTTTTTTAGATTTATTTATTTTCATTGGTGTCTTGCTTGCATGTATGTCTGTGAAGGTGCCAGATCCCTTGGAATCGGAACTACAGGCAGTTATGAGCTGCCATGTGGTTGCTGGGAACGGAACTCAGGACTTCTGGAAGAACAGCTAGTGTTGTTAACCTCTGAGCTATCTAGCCCCAGCCATCTACTTTTTAATGCCTCCAAAGATATACTGTCTCAAGATGTTGGTACCTCCAGGTCTGTAAAGTAGCTTGCCTCATTCTTAAAAGCATAGCTTTTATCCACATTAACTCACTTTGCAGGCCAGATAATTTCAGCATCGAAAGGGATGAAGCAGGAGGATAGTTTGAGGTCAGGCTAGACTAAGTAAAAAGACTATGTCTCAAAATAAAATCAGGCCAGATACAGTTTTATGCCTACAGTCCTAGCACTTGGGAGTTTGAAACAGGGTCATGTAAGACTAACTAAACATGAGACACAACTCCGTCTTTTAAAAAAATGTAAAAACATGTCTGTATTACAGTGTTTGTTTCATGATCACAGTAAAAATGCTGTGGTCTACAAAAGCTTCTAAAGCTTCTAAAGCTCGGTCTTGAGACAACCCAGGCGCACAGCTGTGCCCCTCTCACCTCTGCTTCCAAAGTGCTTGAGACTAAGGTGTATAACCACATCTAGCAATGTCTTGATTTCTCGTGTATGAGTAAGTGGCTCCAACGGCATCAAAAACAACAAGAAGCCACTCATGGGAAGCTGTGGACTAAGCCTCCACATAACTGTAATGTGAAGTGACATCCTAAAAGTCCTAATCAGCATGTTCAGCCATTAAACTTCATCCTCAGTAGCACTGTGGGTGCATATCACTTATGCGCTGACTGTATCTCTGAGTTCACTTGTAAGACAGGCTTATATAGTTCCACTGTACCTTTATTTCCTCACCTCTAGAGCCCAAAAGTAGAGGAGTAAAGTCTTGTAGGATCCTCTAAATTTTAAAAATTAGATGTTTCTAAGCCACTTCCACTTAGATGAGCTTTCTGTTCATTTTTGTTTTGTTTTTCTTTTTTAAGACAGGGATTCTCTTTGTAGCCTTGGCTGTCTTGGAACTCGACCAAGTAGACCAGGCTGGCCTTAAACTCAAAGAGATGCGCCTGCCTCCTGAAAGCTAGGATTAAAGGTATGAGGTGCTTTCTGTTCATTTGTGTTCCTTAGAAAGGTGTTGAAATTGATGAACATCTAAATGAAGGCAGGACATCACAGAGAATGGGTTCTTCTCCATCCAGTGCCACTAACCAGAGCAAAGCTAGAGAAAGCAAGCATGAGAAGAGAAAATTGTTCATGAGATAGATGGAAACATCAGGGAAGTAAGTGCCTATTAGACCTTGTTATTTTTTGTGGTTGATCTGTCCACAATAAAAACAGCTAGGAGGCAAGGGCACAGAGAAAACAAAAGCAGCAGTGTTTTGGGCAGTGGAGCCCGTGGAATGACAGCCTTAAGAAAGTTAAAAAAAACAAACAGGAAAACAGATATTCCATGATCCACCTGACACAGAGACCTCAAAATCTCCTAAAGTATAGAGTCTTTCATGACTCATGGTCGCTTCCTGGTATAAAATACATGGCAATACTCAACAAGATGTTGACCCATACATGTTCCTTTTAAGCTAACTCAAAATAAGGAAAAGAATTTTGGTCAGGTTTATTTCCATTTCTATTTACACATGGGCTATGCTGGAAAGACTTGACATACAAGCAAAACTTGGAGCAGAGGCAGAGCATTTCTTTTGTCAAAGACAAACAAGGTACTTAGGCTGCAACTTGGGCATTTGGGGAGAAGATCAGTAGGACACCTTCATTACTGTCTTTGTCATACAGTTTACCACTAAACACAGCCTCAGAACACGCTGTTGGGATAGTCTTGCTCTCACTTAGAAGAGATGAAATTTAAAGACAGGTATCAGAGGGAAAAGACAACCAGCCCCATGTCAAATACTTTTTATTATAAAATCTTGTTTGCATCATGATCAGAATAGAAAAATAATACTATGAACTACTAAAGAGTTCTGGATTATCTTCTGTTTGAATAGAGCAGGGCGGGGGGTGGGTCACATAGACGAAACATTTGAATTGTCCAGGAGCCTACCATTATGAGGCATTCCATGCTCATGTAGGACAGATGCAGTACATGTAGCCACAGGATGCTGTGGCTCAGGTCCTGCTAGAAGCCCAATAAGCCTAGACGGTTCACACAAGGAGCTCTGGCCATGATGACCAAGGAAGAGAATTTGAGGTCAGTAGGAAGCTGGTGGACCAAGATAGGAACAGCCTTGCCCTTCCTTACAGCAAAAGGTAGGAGTCTCCTGCTGCTGATCTTGGTTTAAAGGCAGTGCCATTGACCTCAGGTAGGTGCTCAATGCCCAGGTGTCTGTGCTGAAGAAAAAACCACACAACCTTTCCCAGGCCAGCATGACCACTTTTCACAAGTGTGGCTGAAGTACCAGAAGGATACTGTTCTTACTCTGATGGGTACCAGCTGGAATTCTTGTACTTCAGATTCTGTCCATACTAAAGGCAGAAAGAAAGAGACTGTTAAAAAGACCAGTGAATGGGGCTGGAGAGATGGCTCAGCAGTTAAGGACAATGGTTGCTCTTCCAGAGGACCTGGGTTCAATTGCCAGCACCTACATGGCAGCTCACAACTGCTTGTAACTCACGTTCCAGTGGATCTGACTCCCTCAGACAGACAAATGTGGGTCAAACATCAATGCACATTAAAAAAAGAAAAGACAGTGACCAACAACTGTTAGCTTGAACTCTGCGTTATTAGAAGTCTTGATTCAAAAGAACCAGAAGACTCTCTTCCTTAGGAAGGAAGCTTTGGGGACTGGGAAGATGATTCGGCGGGTAAAGTACTTGCCACCAAAGCATGAGGACCAGCATCCATGAAAGGAGAGATGAGCTTCCTAGAGTAAACAAATTAGACTAGCTAAATTGGAGAGCATTTTGGTTCAAGTGAAAGATCCTCCAATATATACAGTGGAAAGTGATTGATGAAAGTGATTGATACCTGACATGAGCGTCTGGTCTGCATGCATGTGTGCATACACACGTACTTCTAAAAATTTGTGGATATACACAGGTGAACATATAAAATGCAGACCATATACTTATAGAGACCCTTTCTACGTACTGGAAATAAGAAAAGCATCCCATTTAACACTCCCTTAAATCCAGTTTTCTACACCTGTCAGGCCTTCAAAGAGCAATGCATTCATATCTGGGTGGGAACCCAGACCTCAGCAGTAATACCTGGAGAAAGTGGCTAGTGTGAGCATCTCAAGCAGCAGCTCTGAGCCACAAAAGAAGAGCAAGATGCTGTTCATAATAGCTTCTAGGCGGAGCACGTAGGTCTGCAGCAGCAGGTAATAGGAAGCCATCATTGCAGATGGGAAGGTCAAGGCCACACTAATGCCAAGGGGCATCTTTCGCTGGCAGAGGTTTCCCTTTGTACCTATAAAACACAGCCCAGAGTCACCTCTGAATAGTGAATGCTTTTCCTGGCCCTACTTTTTCTCACATCAGGAAGTGTCTGGATGTGACAGACAGAAGAAAGAAAAATTACCTTGAGTGGGGATGTCATATTTAAAGGTGAAGTTCCACTGAACTAAGTTTGAAGCTTCAGGGTGTTACATGACTAAAGTCTTTACTCCAGAGGCCCTGCTTCCATTCACACTACTCGGGGAACAGGATTCTGCATCAGGAAAAAATTTGGGGAGGGTCTCTTGAGTTTGAGGTTAGTCTGGTCTACATTGAGAGTTCCAGGACAGCCCGGGCTACATAAAGAGACCCTGTCTCACAAAAGAAGACAAAAAAGAAAAAATAATAATACAAGCCAGGCATGGAAGCACACACCTATAATCTCCGCACTCATGAGGCTAAGGTGTCAGAATTGAGAGCTCAAAATTATCCTGGTCTCCTTACTTCAAAAAACCAAAACCAAGACAGCTGGAGAGATGGCTCAGGGGTTAAGAGCACTGGCTGCTCTTCCAGAGGTCCAGAGTTCAAATTCCAGCAACCACATGGTGACTCCCATCTATAGTGAATCTGGTGCCCTCTTCTGGCCTGTAAGCATACATGCTTATGTAGTATAAACTGTATAAAGAGTAAATAATACCAAAAAAAAACCCCCAACTCGGTGTGTGCATATATACATTGCATATGTAAAATATCTACTATGTATACATGTGTTTATATCCACATGTATATATACATTGCATATGTAAAATACCTACTATGTATATATGTGTATATGTAAATGAATATATACATTAAAAACTTTTCAACTAATATAAAAAGTAATTTTAGGAAATGCATTAAAAATATCTGTTCTTTGGGGCTACAGAGATGGATGGCTGAATGGTACTGAGGACCGAGGTTCAGTTCCCAGTACCTACATGACAGCTCAACAATCTGTAACTCCAGTTCCAGTGGATGTGTATGGCCACAAAAGCCAGCAGACAACATTGAATCCCCTGGAGCTAGAGTTACAAGCAGTTGTGAGTTGCTTAATATTATTGGTGGAAAACAAACAGGTCTTCCTGCAAAAGCAGTAAGACTCTTAACCTCTGAGCCATCTCTCTAACCTGACACCTTCTGACCTCTGTGGGCACCAGACATACATGTGGTATATATATGTACATACATACATATATACAGGCAAAAACAAAAACATCCATATACATGAAATAATAATAGTTTAACTTAAAAAAATATATGTTTTCCTGCTGGGCGCAGTGACTCACACCTATAATCCCAGCATTCTGAGAGGCAGAGACAGACAGATCTCATGAGTTCAAGGCCAGCCTGGTCTACAATATGAAGCTACAAAGAAAAACCCTGTCTTGGGGGGGAAAATATGAGCTGGTCATAGTGGCGCACACCTTTAATCCCAGTACTCAGGGAAGTAGGGGCAGGCAGATTGCTGTGAGTTCAAGGCCAGCCTGGTCTACAAAGCCAGTCTAGGACAGCCAAGGCTACAAAGAGAAGCACTGGCTCAAAAAACCAAAATAAATAAAAATTAAGTGTTCCAAAAGCCAAATACGGATATAACTATATATATATTTATTTATTTATATCTATATATCTATATCTATATATCTATATATAGATATATATATAATCTTTCTTGCTATTGCTAATGTGATATGTGGGAAAAAAATGTGCCTTGTTTTTCTGGCTTTTCTTTATTAAATTTGAGCACATTGGCAAGTTTTGTCTTTTTTTCTTTTCTTTTTTTTCTATAGGATCTCATTATGCAGCCCTGGCCTGGCCTGGCCATTATGTGGCCTTAAATGCATAATGATCCCTTTGCCTCTGCCTGGTGGTACTGGATTAAAGGCATGTGCCATCATGTTCACTTTAGCAAGGTGTTTGGTCCTCTGTAGTGACTTATGTGAACTCACTGTTAGTTTCCCTTACCTGCCTGCCTTTCATTTGTAATTTAAACACTGGGGTGATATGTTCTAAGCAATAAGTGTTTTTGCTCTGTGTTTCTGGGGTTTAAAAACCTCTTGTAGAAAAATCCTGTTTAAAGAAGTGGAGGGAATATTAGAGCTCTTTCGGAATGAACTGCTTTACTCTTCAGACAAAGCAAGGAGAAGAAGCAGGAACTCTTGTAGCTGTTAGGCAACTGGAGAGGGATCATCTAAGATCCAATGCCCGCTGCTAGCCTCACTCAGAAACACACAGGTAAGTCTTGACCCAAAATATAAAGTAGTAGTTTGAAGCCAGTAAGGGGATACATTATCAGATCCAACCTCTGATAGCCTAGGTTATGTTCTTTGTCTTGTTAATCAAGTTACAGGCTCCAGCATGTCTCATGAGGAATGGAAATATTTTCTGGATAGCACTCACCAAAAAACAGGCGTATTACTTCAATGCCAAGATAAAGGAGCAGCATCACCACGTCCAGGACTAGGTTGGCAGTTGGGTATGGCAGCAAGAGACCTGCCGGTGTAAAAGCCAGAGTCGCAAACACTGCCTAACAGTCCCCCACAAGGACACAAGTCTCAGCTTCCCGTGAGCCAGTTACAGGGCTGTGGCTTGTTGCAGCTGCAGCTCTAAGTCTAGAAGTCCTGACTACCCAATGACTGAATTATAATGGTACACAGATCTGAATATTTTAGCGAAGAAAGATGGGGGAAAGTCAGGATGGAGAAGCCCACATTTCTCAAACTCAGGATATTCTTGCTGAAAGACTTCCTACTAAATCATTCTAAAGACATCAGTTGAGATTTCTGCCATGCAGTGAAGAGAGATGCTGCAGGGGCCAGAAAAGAGTGAAAGAAGGTTCTCGGTGGAGTTGGCACTAGGCTAAAGTGGAAAGGGGACAGAGGCAGTCATCAAGCCCAGCCTTACCTTTGTACAGAAAAATAAGGAGCTCCAACAGGAAATAGGTAGCATAATACCACCCATTCAGAAATAACAAGATTTCGAGAGGGGTTGAGGACAACCTTTTATCTGGGGGAAAAAAAAAGGCAACACAAAAAATGAGCAGAAGGGCAACTGGAGCTTTACTCCCTGTGGGGTTCTGTGTAACCTGGAGAAAACACAAGGTCATGATGAATGAGGGAGAAACTTGTAATTGCTAATGAAGTGAGAGTGTTGGCGTGAAGGAGGTGGCCTTTGACCTCCTTTCCCAGGAATCACTTTTAGGTCGAGCTAGCATCACAGCTAAGATGCACCTCAAAATTTCAACCCTGTCACTACTTAAGGGAAAATTGGGGCACAGAGGTCAGTTTTAAGTCTGTCCATGGCTAGAGGATTGTAACTGAGCCATCCGGGAATAGGGCCGGGTTTCTAAGGGTACAGTAGTTTACACATGCAGACACTTAGGGTGGTCAAGGCAACACATACCAATTCGGACAAGAGAAGAGTAAGACTCCAACTTTTGAGAAGGGGGTATTAGGTCGCGCTCTGGAGAGCAGAGAGATGGAGAGGCTGGCAGGTACCTATGGGATAGGGGCAGAGACACACACCTCCAAAGTCTCACCTCGCGGCGCCATGTTCAGTCCCCATGGAAACTGGGTACGCGGCAGCTCCCGGAGCAGTGTGGTGCTGCCGGAAGCTGGACACGGAGCCGCCCGGGCTTCTGGCCTCTCTACCCGCCAGTGCCACTCTATGGTTACCCCGCCGGCCACGCACGCGCATGGAAGAGCGCCCGTCGTCATCTGCTTGTTGTGGTCTAGAGGGAGTGTGGAGTTTTTGAATGAAGCCTGAGATCCCAGGAGCCCTGAGTAGCTCTCGAACGGAACTCTCCCTTCCCAGCGTCACGGCGTTGGGCCTGAGTGGTCCGGTGTGGCAGTGTGGTCGGAAGATCGGCCCTGGGCCCACCATTGTCTCTTCTCACTCCTGTGTGAAAAACAAACGCCTTATGCCACTGTTGTGCTGTAGACTTGCCAGGGTCAACAAGATCCTGCTGGAGACACCACAGCAGAGGTAAATGTCCTTTCTAGGAGTACAAGCAAAAACAGTGGAGCTATAACGTGATTTTTCTTCGACTCAAAAAAGTGCAAGGATGTTGAAAGGAGACAGCATACACCCACGTTTCCAACAAGTTTGAGCTATGAATCCTGATTGTAATTTGAAGCAGTAAAAGCTTGTTGCAAGCAGCAGAGTGGAAGAGTGAGGTTTCTGAAAACACTCAGGTTGACTCAGCAGCCAGCCCTTAAGAGTGTAGCAGGCAGGCAACAAATACTTGGAGAGAGTAAACTAACCTGGAATGAAAGTGCTATACCCCTAGCTAGCTTAGGAGTGTGGATAAAGGCAGTAATTGTTGCTGATCAGAGACCGAAAGGGTAACGGCAAAAGCAATTCCTCACCTGAGGAGAAAAATTTAAATAGAAAACCTCCCTCCACCATTTCCCACCTCTGCTTGTGCCTTCCACTGTTGTAGTTTAGTTTAGTTTAGTTTAGTTTAGTTTAGTTTAGTTTAGTTTAGTTTAGTTTAGTTTAGTTTAGTTAGATAGGTCTCCCTATGTAGGTTAGGCAGCCCTCAGATTCTCCTGCCTCTGCTTCCTGTCCAGTTCTGGGATTTCAAGTGATTGCTACAGTGCTCTGGCAGATCTTAAATGGAAATTTTAGGTTCATTCTAGAAAGGGCCAGAACAAGGTGAGGTGATGAAAAGAACCCTGGTTCCTACACTCCATCTGCACCTACCTTTATGCACACTCCTGCCTTGAGCCTCAGATGAAAGGAAGGTGGGCTAGTTGCTTGTTTGTATAAATAAAAGATCTTAAATCACCTTTCCCACACATTTAGGTATTGGGTACACATATAACTCATTTACCCATTGTCAACAGAAATTCTGTAGTCTATAGCCTTAATACCACCAGGACTTTAAGAAAACTGATGCTATTCTATGTCAGGATGCCACAACTCCATAGGTGCCAAAAGTGGATCAGACTGACTAAACTGAAGGAACTTCAGTATAGGAGCCTGGTCACCTGCCCTCTGGGATTCTAATCCAGGGCCTGGGACTGCTGGAAACACACTTCACACTGAGCTCTATCTAGCCTTTCAATACTTTTCTTTAGTAAGCCACAAATAAAGCTGAGGAACAGTCTCACTATAGTAAATTGACCTACTTAATCGCCTATATTCAATATCAAGGCTTTTCAGGACCATGCACCATTGGCTAGAAGGACAAGGACTCTTAGGGCCCAAAGCAAATTTATTCCACTATCCATTGACCAACTAACACATTGTGATGGCTATTCTTGATTGGCAAACTGACTACATCTAAAACCCAAAAGTCCAGGAGGGATTCATTTTCTTCCTCCTCCTCCTCCTCCTCCTCCTCCTCCTCCTCCTCCTCCTCCTCCTCCTCCTCCTCCTCTTCTTCTTCTTCTCATTTCCCCTTTTCTATTATTTTATTTTTTAGGATTACATCATTTCGCTCTTTTTTCCCCTCCAAGCCATCCCATATACACCTCCTTGCTCTCTTTCAAATTCATGACTTCTTTTTTCATTAACTGTTACATGCATATATGTACATACATATACATATATATTTCTAATTACAACCCTACTCAATTTGTATAATGTTATTTGTATGTATCTTTCCAGGGCTTACCATTTTGTAAGCCCATTCGATAATTAATTGGCCTACTCTTTTATGAGGAAGACTATTTCTCCCACTTTTTTCCCCTTTAATTTAAAACAACTTTTAAATTTAAATATACTTTGACCATATTAGTCCCCTCCCCAAAGTCCTTCCAGATCTTCTCTCCCTCCTTAACCATCCAATTTTAAGTTATTTCTCAGAAAACAATCAAAAACTCAACCTACAACCCCCCGCCAATCAAGAACACAACACCTAAACAGAAACAAACAAACAAACAAAACACTAAACCATAACCAAATAAAACCACACACAAAACAAACAAACAAACAAACAAACAAACAAACAAACAGTGAAGTCTGCTAATATGTTGGTCAATTACTCTTGAACATGAGGCCTGCTCTGTAGTGGTTGATATACCTAGTGTCACTCTATTGGAGAAAACAGATGTTTCCTCTCCCAGCATGTATAAATGACAGTTCAGTTGTTAACCTTTACTCTAGTGGCTAGGTTTTCTTTCATTCATTCGTTTGTTTGTTTGTTCATTCGTTCATTGGTTCATTCATTCATTCATTCTTCATTTTTAAAAATACAACAAAATAAAATATAAGATAACACTGCTTCATGATAAAAGTCCTGGAGAAATTAGGAAAACAAGGGACATACCTCAACATAATAAAGGCAGTTGAATTGTGTTAAAGGCCTTTTCTGCATCTAATGAGATGACTATGTAGTTGTTGTCTTTCAGTTTGTTTCTATGATGTATTACATTGACTGATTTTCGTATTTGAACAATCCCTGCATCTCTGGAATGAAGCGTACTTGATCATAGTGGATGATCTTTTTTCTGTGTTCTTGGATTTAATTTGCAAGTATTTTATTGAGTATTTTTTATATGTACATTCATAAGGGAAGTTGGTCTGTAATTCTGGGAGTACAGACATGTACCACCACACCTGGCTCTCACTTAGGGTTATAGGTCTATTTAAATTGATTATCTGATCTTGATTTAACTTGGTAAATGGTATGCGTCAAGAAAATTATTCATTTCTTTTACATTTTTCAATTTGGCAGAATACAGGTTTTTAAAGTATGCCCTTATGATTCTTTAGATTTCCTTGGTGTCTGTTGTTATGTCCCCATTTTCATTTCTGATTTTGTTAATTTGGATCTTCTCTCTCCACCTTTTAGTTAATTTGAATAAGGGTTTGTTAATCTAACTGATTTTCTCAAAGAACCATCGCTTTGTTTCATTGATTATTTGTATTGGTTTTTTGTTTGTTTGTTTTTGTTCATTTGTTTCTATTTTATTGATTTAAGCCCTGAGTTGATTGTTTGTTGACATCTACTCCTTTTGGGTATGATTTCTATTTTTTGTTCTAGAGTTTTCAGGTGTGCTGTTAAGTTGCTACTATGAGATCTCTCCAATTTTTGTTTTGTTTTGAGATAGAGTTTCTCTGTGTATTCTTGGCTGTCCTGGAACTTGCCCAGTCGACCAGGCTGACCTCACACTCAAAAAGATCCACCTGCCTCCACCTCCCAAGTGCTAGGATTAAAGGTATGTGCCACAACTGCCCAGCTCCAACTTTTTAATGTAAGCACTTATGAACTTGCCTCTTAGAACAGCCTTCATCGTGTCCCATAAATTTGGGTATATCATGTATTCGTTTTCATTCAATTCTAAAAAGTTTTTTATTTCTTTCTTATTTCTGTCTTGACCCATTTTTCATTCAGTAGAAAGTTGTTCAGTTTCCATGAGTTTGTAAGCTTTTTGTTGTTTCTATTGTTAATATCCAGCTTTAATTTGCTCAGATGGGATGCAGAGTCTGTTAGTATTTATATTAAAAAAATGCCATGTACACAACCAATCTTATATGAAAAAGTTTATTCGAAGGAAGGGAAGCAGGAGAGTTGGGGCCTGAATGAGCCATGGGGTGGGGGAGAAAGCGAGAAAGAGAGAGAGAGAAGAGGTAAGAGGCAGAGGTCCTATTATCCCAGGCCCCTGGCAGCAGCGACCAATGATGACCTCACAGGTGGCTAAGCAACCTAGGAGAGGACTAGTGCATCGACTTGTGAACTAAGAGACTCTTATTTTGATTTTCTCGTATCTGTTGAGACTTGCTTTGTGTCTGAGTATGTGGTCAATTTTGGAGAAAGTTCCACAAAGTACTTAGAAGGAGGTATATTCTTTTATGTTTGGGTGAAATGTTCTGTAAATATCTGCTAGGTCCATGTGGTTTATAACCTCAGTTAACTCCAGAATTTCTCTGTTTAGTTTTTGTCTGGAGACCTGTCCATTGGCCAGAGTGAGGTACTAAAGTTTCCCACTATCAGTGTGTGAGGACCAATATGTGATTTAAGCTATAGTAGTATTTTTTTTTTTAATAAACTTGGGTGACCTTGTGTTTGGGGCATAGATATTAAGAATTAAAATGTCTTCATGATAGATTTTTCCTTTGATAAGTATGTAGTATCCTTTCCTATCTCTTCTAATTAGTTTTTATTTGAAATCTATTTTGTCAGGTATTAAAATGGCTACATCTGTTTGTTTCTTAGGTCCATTTTTTTAAATGTCTTTTTTTTTTTTTCATACCTTGAGGTGATGTCTGTCCTTGATATTAAGATATCTTTCTTGGATGTAGTGGAAGGATAGATCCTGTTTTCAAATCCATTCTGTTAATCTGTGCCTTTTTATTGGGGAATTGAGACAACTGGTGTTGAGAAGCATCAGTGACCAATGATTGTGTTATTTTGTTGTTGGTGGTGGTATGTGTGTGCTTCCCTTCTTTGACTTTGTTGATCTGGGATTATTTATTCTCTGTGTTTTCTTCGATATAATTATCCTCTTTAGCTTGGAATTTACCTCAAAGCACCTTCTGTAGGGCTGGATTTGTAGATACTACTTACATTTGACTTTATCATGGAAAGTCTTATTTTCTCCATTTATGGTGACTGAAAGTTTTGCTGGAAGCCAGGCATGGTGGTGCACACCTGTAATCCCAGC